CAATCTTCTATTACCATAAACCTCAGTATAACGTGTAGCAAATTACTATTTTTCCCTCAATCTTCTATTACCATAAACCTCAGTATAACGTGTAGCAAATTACTATTTTTCCCTCTAATACAGTTCAGAATGGGAAAAAAAAGGGCTAGCTAATCCATCACACTTGTAGCCAGTTAGGAAGGAAATTGGAACGTTTGTCATCAATTGTTCTATCAGTCAGGCCATTAAAAAAAAAAAAAGGAACAGCTCATCTAAAAAATAAAGTCAATACTGSGTGAGTCTAAACAGTTTCTTCAGCATTTCACACACATTCAAGCAATGAACACTATTATTCTGTCCTTGTAACCATATGCCCCCAAGTCAATAATTGCTCTTCAACATCTGACCTCTTTTTAAAGCAGMTTTACAAAGAAGTACAGTGGAAGTGTTCCAAATCAGCTGGTCAGAAAGTATTATGGATCATAATAGTAAACATAGTAACAATTTCTAGCTGTTCTGACCTGCAAGATTAGAACAAAACCAGCTTTAAAACAAAATTTAAAAAAATAATAAAGGAAAATTATCGGATCAAATATACACAAACTTCTACTCAAAAATAAATCCCAAATGGACCTGGAGCATATTTAGGATGACATCAAACGTCTAAAATCCCCAAAGCTTTAAACTACAGTTAACCTCTTTCAGTGTGCTCTTCAGCAAGCAATTCCAAAAACCACTATACCTTTAGAAAGCACTTTTCATACTCACAGCTCACAAAGCACKTCCTCCAAAAACACAGAAACACGCAGGAAAGAGAGCTTTCTTTGGGACAGGAAACCACCAATATCTATTGCAACATGACAAACGTGAGTTCTATAGTATGACTTCATTTATCAAAGACTAATTTTCCTCCTTTCCCATCCCTACACRTTGGCAGTCAAGTCAAAATTCAATCAAGAGCAACTATGCATATCTCTAATTTCAGGGAAGCATCATGTAGCACACAGACTACAGCTGGGGCGCAGTTTTGGCAAGTCCCTTTTAGGTCAGCTGAAGGAAGCCCCCACTTACCCAAAGCGTCCCAGCGAGGGCAGCGCCGGTGCAGACGGGACGCCAGGCTCAGAGCCACAGGCGGACTCGGCTCCTCGGAGCGGCAGCCCTGGCTGTTATTATGTCTGCAGCGCACAAGTGGCAGCGTGTCGTTATTTATACGAAAATCAGCACCTTCCTCATGAAAAGAACACTTGACGCTTCTTACTGGCCCTGCAACACACTCTTCGACTTATGCCATCACAGCTAGTGACTAAGAAGACGCTTTCAGTGTCACAGGAGATTAAGATTCTGGGAGGAGAGTGCCTGGCAGCTTTACTCTCACACACCGATCTGTCTTCAYGCAAACGCACTTTGTCGGCGGATAGAAGTGTATTATTGCAATACGCTACCGAAGCGAAACAGTTTCCAAGTTTTCCCACAKGGCACCAGCTCCCCCTTCAAGCGGTACCCCAGTACTTGCCCCACCTTGTCCTTCTCCGAGGCCTTCCTCGGAAAGACCGAGGCATCACAACATGTCCTGTGGCCCCACCGAGCTCCGGCTCCCCGGGCATTGCCCTCACACCTGCCGGGACACCGCGCCCTGAGCCGCGCCCCGCGGGGCGTGGSCACCCCCGCACGGCCCGGACAGCGCCGAGCACCGCCGGCCCCGGGACCCGCGGGAGGGTGAACCGCAGCCGCGGTGCTCTCGGGGGTCCCGCACGGCCCGGGCAGGGCATGGCCTCCCCGGCGGGGCGTCACATACACAAACACACACAGACACACACAAACACACACAGACACACACGCAGAACACACGCCTTGCACCTGTCCGCTACTACCGACGGGGAGCGAACTCCCACCCACGGGGCTCGGCGCTCCGCTCTCCGCGGCGGGACCAGCACCGGGATCCCGCTGCCAGGGCAGAGCCCAGTGACAACCACTCGCCACACAGATGCGGATAAGAAGGGAAAAGACGGCGAGGAGAGCAGCCCACTCCCATTACCTTAGCAACCGCGCCGCCGCCGTCCCCTGCCGCCCCTTCGCCTCTCCTCAGGGACGGCGAAGCGCCCGCAGCATGGCGTGAGCCTGCGGGCGGGGCTGGCGGTCAGCCCGGGGCTCCTCGGGGCGCCTCTTCCAAAAACCTCCCGCTCTCCTCAGCGCCCCTCCGGCTGCGGCAGGGACGGAGGCCGGGCGAAGCTGCTGCGACCGGAGCGCCGCGGGCACACCGCGCCCCGCCCGGCCCAGCCCCTCGCTGCCGCCCCCCGACCCTCC